TTGTTCCTGCTGCTGTTCAGAGAGAGGAGTCAGACGCTTCCCCTGCCCCAGTGTGGGTCCCTCCCACGGGACAGTTCTGCACACACTGCTCCAGCTCRGGCTCCTCTCTCCATGGGCAGGCCCAGCTCAGGGTCCCACGGGGTCACAGCCTTCCTTGGGCATCCCCCTGCCCCGGTGTGCAGGTGCATCTCTGCCCCTGTGCCCTCCTTGGGTCTCACTCCCTGTGGTTGTCCCCACAGGGCAATCACAGCTCCAGCCCCTGGAGCAGCTCGTGCCCCTCCTGCCCTGCCCTGGGTGTCTGCAGAGCCGCTCCCCTCCTGTGTTCTCACCCCGCTCTTCTCCAGACCCAGTTACAGCTGCACAGGATCTGTGATCCCCGAGGTGTCCCCGCTGTCCATGCTGGGCTGGGCTGTGGCCAGTGCCAGGCCTGTCCTGGAGCCAGCTGGAATTGGCTCTGCTGGACACTGGGGAAGCTTCTGGCAGCTTCTCATAGAAGCCACTCCTGAAACCTCCCTGCTCCCAAAACCTGGCCACAGCAACCCAACCCTCCCAGGGAACAATTCCTTCCCAATATCCCATCCATCCCTGCCCTCTGGCACTGGGAAGCCATTCCCTGTGTCCTGTCCCTCCAGCCCTTGTCCCCAGTCCCTCTCCAGCTCTCCTGGAGCCCCTTCAGGCCCCAAAAGGGGCTCWGAGCTCTCCCTGGATCCTTCTYCTGTCCAGSTGAGCACCCCCAGCTCTCCCAGCCTGGCCCCAGAGCAGAGGGGCTCCAGCCCTGCAGCATCTCCGTGCTCTCCTCTGCCCTGGCTCCAGCAGGTCGGCATCTTCCATGTGCCGAGGCCCTTCAGCCTTCCAGGCCCCTCCTTCTGCAGCCTCACAGCTGGAAGAGCAGCCCTGCCCTTCCTCAGGGAACGTCTGGGAAGAGGAGGAGGAGGGGAAGGAGTGTCCTGAGCCCTTCACAGAGAAACCAGCTGGGCACTTGCAGCTGCTTGGCTGTGCCTGGAGGAGACCCTGATCATCCATGGGGGATATCCCTGTTCATCCATGGGGGATATCCCTGTTCATCCATGGGGGATATCCCTGTTCATCCATGGGGATATCCCTGTTCATCCATGGGGGATATCCCTGTTCATCCATAGGGGATATCCCTGTTCATCCATGGGGGATATCCCTGTTCATCCATAGGGGATATCCCTGCTCATCCATGAGGGATATCCCTGTTTATCCATGAGGGATATCCCTGTTCATCCATGAGGGATATCCCTGTTCATCCATAGAGGATATCCCTGTTCATCCATGGGGGATATCCCTGTTCATAGGGGATAGATATCCCTGTTCATCCATGGGGGATATCCCTGTTCATCCATAGGGGATATCCCTTTTCATCCATAGGGACCTGCAGCAGCATTTGCCATGGACAGGGACAAGGTCAGGGCTCCTCTGGACACCCTCCATCCCTGCAGCCTCCTCTCTGTTCTGGGGGTCCTGCAAAGTCTGGGGGTGAGAGGGGACAGGCGGGGGTCACTGCTGTGGTGCCAGGGGCTGGTTTGTGCTGTGCCTGGCTCATGGAGGTTAATTAAGAATGGATGCAATTAGGGCTGGGGCTGTGCTGGCAGCCACTGACTGCTCCTCAGTGGAGCAGAGCAAGTGGCCTGAGAGGGGAGCAGGAGCCTTGGGCTGGACGGTGCTGCCCGGACCCGCAGCCGGAGCCCCGCTGGGCCGTGCCCAGGGCTGTATGGGGTGAAGGCAGAGCTGACAGCACCATCCTGCAATCCCACATCCGGCCATGCCCTGCCTGCTGAATCACATTCCTCGCGAGTGGGAAGCAGAACTTTGTGAGC